TTCATTTTATTTTGTAATCTCAATCCTCATGCTTGATATTGTCCACTCTTTAGATCAATTCTGAAGCTTGTAATCATTTCAGAGCACTTTCAAAAGGAAGTTTTCGTCTGAAATCATTCTGACAAAATGCCTGTCACCTGGCCACAGTGGGTATTTGTAGTCGTCAATGTCGTTTCTCTCCCACTATATCTCTTAATTATTATTGTATGCATTAAAGAATGGAAGTATAATCAACTACAACGAACTTTTTACCTGCTCTTAATATCTCAGGTACAGTGCCATTTCCAGGAATTCTCTCGAAATATGCTGTCTAAAATGTAAATGATCATTAGAGTGTGTAAGCAGTGTAAGCGCATAGCGCCCACAATACGCAAGTACTTCAGAAACCAGGGCCACTCTACCGAGGGAAAAAGAGAGTTCCAGAGAGATATTACTATTATTATATTGTTGGAGATACAGGAATGCTGGGTTAAGGACAAAAATTTCGCCACAGCTGGGATACATACTAACTGATCGCACATCTCTCCGGAAAGCAAGAGATTTGGGATACGTAAGTGAAGGTTCGGATGTCCTCTCAGCATATAAATTACCTAAGAGGCCTCGAGCGTGCTCAATCACATCACATAAACTCCACGACATCATAGAGTAATAAGCTTCATGTACAAACTCAATAGCAAACAGACGTCAAGGCACAGAACAGCATGAGCAAAACAAAGGTATGCAGACAAGTGTGAGAGTTGATGTCGCGGTCGTCATACCGGTCGCAGTACGGTCCCGTCGGCAGAATCCCCGTTGCTCCTCTCGTCCTCGCTCCGCCCCCTCGATCGTCTTCGAACCGTCCGACATCTGGAAACACAATGCTAAGCGATCAAAAATAAACATATGACATCCATAGGTCTAGAATAAGCTGATGACCTAGGTAGATAGCACAAAGAGAGAATGAATGTAAACAGACCATCATTTGAATTACCCTGAACGTTACACCGACACATTTGTAAGTAGTAGCACATCTCTCCGGAAAGCAAGAGATCCGGGTACGAATCCCGGCTGGGGCGAAAGTTTTGCCCACAACTCAGCATTCTTGTGATAACTTTCGCAACGCGAACTGCGGCGTAAAACAGCAGTTATCCAACAGAAACAAAGGTTTTAGAAAGATGTTTTCCCTTACCTTCCTGGATAAACGATGGTCACTGCCCATGAAAATTTAGCGTACATAACGTCTCGCTGCTGACTAAATACTCACTCACCAACTACCGTTTGTTTCTTACAGGGCCAGTCGTAATTGCAGAATTTTCAACACAATTGTTACCAGGTGGCATCAAAAGCATCCAAAAGTACGCCATATATCGATTCTGAGTCCATGGTCGTGATCCTGGGAGTGAGCCATGTGCTCCATACTTAGCTATGCCTGACTTGCTCAAAAAATTGACGACGTAGGGAATACGATCGAAGCAGAGAGAAATCCTAACCTGAAATTCTAGTCGCAAATATCTCGGAAGGTTTAGCACTAATTCGTTGTAGCTTTTGAGAAATGTGATGGTCTTCCCTAAACCCACACCTTCTGACAAATAGTAAATCTTTTTTGAATGCGACAGCTTGTCCGTCCAATACCACACCTACTTCCTACCAGTGAAAAACGCAGTTGAAAACGAGCTCCTTCAAAGCACAACCCAGGTACAGTCGTGGGCACGATTCAATGCAGGCTATGAGTAGGCCCTTTAGAGGACAATGAAGATGTGGCACTCCCACGCATTGAAGCCGTAGCGCTAGGGCCTTGCAAAAACGGTTTCAACGGCTTCAGTTCTCACCGTCAGGTTATTGTCTGGCGCCCGTTGCTTATCGATCAACGCTATTCTTTCAAGGTTTCAGAGGACTTTTTGCTACCTCACAGAACGAACATAATCCGAATTTGTGCACTGTTATCTGCTAAGTGCGAACATTGAGTTTTCTATGAAGCCACCTCGAAACACCCAAAACAACGGAAAACACCTGATTGATGAGAGTCAGTTTTTAATATAACAGATTGACTCTAAGAGCCCAGAATTTTTCCCGTGGAGATTGTTTTTTATTACAGTTGGCGGACGTAGACACTACAGCTGTTAGTGTACATTTTTTGTGAGCACAT